GAAACATGACTTGAAATTAGAAAGAGGAGAAATTTGTACATGGATAACTACTTTAAGACTATGGCTGACCTTCATTAGTGATCAATGGGACCTTTACTTTTGCCAGTTCTTCTTGGAGAAGACACAGTGTCTTATGGGAAAGCTGGAGAATTATACCTCTGTAAAGCTGGTCATGCACAAGATCAGAATCAGTCCTCTGAATTGCTGCCTTTTTATCTTCCTGACTTCAGTTTGACTTGACTTTCATCTTGACTTTAAAATGGAGACTGCAGAATACATAATAAACATAGGGAAAAAAATTAAAGGTAATCAAGCAGTCACATCACATTGTCTCAACATCTCTTTTTTTTAATGTTTGACTTTTGGTGTGAATTCCCGTTCACAGGTCTTTGTCAGGCACTAATTTTCATAAATACAAATGTTACTGGAAACTCAAATATAGTATTAAAATCACTTATGAATAATAACTTAAGAAGGTACAGTTTTCTATGTATAGACCACATTCAAAGAACTTTGCTCACAAAAAGAACCTGGAGGACTAGATGTCACACACAAATCTTGTAAAAATGTAAGTGGGATTTGATGCTATTCTAATATCTTAGAGGGTAAATTATTAATGTTCAGTGTTAAAGAAAAAAATATGTCTTCTGGGTAAATACACAGCCTTGCTCGAATGACATTCATATACCCTCGCTCTGAAACTATGAGGAGGAAGAAGTCAATATCTTTAGAATGTGAAATGTGGAACGCTAAAAGAAATATAGTACCAAGATATGAGCTTTAAGTTTCTAAATAGTATCTATTTTATCTATACTATCTATCTATTCTCAGGCAAGAATTTTTCCATGTTGCTTTCAGACAAGTTAAAAGATATCAAAAAGTCAGTACAGTATTTAATTTGAATACGTACAGTCACAGTTTATTTATATGCAATACATACATCAGCACACACATACCTATGTCAATTATTTATATATAGATTAAATGAATCTAATACACACACATATGTACATACATTTACAGATACTCATTCTTATCTTCCAGACCATTTGTAATGGATGATTAATATTATGCATATGTGTATCTAAACACAAAGATGCATTAAGTGGATGTACTATATAGAACAATTTTTCTCTTGCTATTAAAGGAAATGTGATTTTCAGGTGTTTTTCCACCTAAACTAACTGGGCTCTGGGCTCTGTAATGCAGTTTTTGGAAATCATTACATCTTTGCAGAACAAACATCTATGAGCTAGGGAACAAATCAGAACTTCTTTATATTTGATAAATATTGTAAAATTTGTTTGTGTAGACATTTGTTAATTTTTCAGTGAAGGAGGGGAAGAAATTCCTGGCTTGGGGACTTCAATCTTTTTTGAGGTATTTTTGGTTTACTATGTGTTGTTCCACTGATAGGTACAAGCTAAGCATTATGACTGTCATTTTCAATGGAGTTGGAAGACAGTTCCTAATTTCTTGAAACTTTTTTTTTTTTTTTTTTTTCATTTCTTCCCTTAATGTTATTTTCTAGAAAGTCTGTTCCCTGGGAATACACTAACACCTTGGTAGCTGCTGGGGTATGTATACAGGCAGTGTTCTGGTGACTTCTGTCTGTCCATATGTGGCCTCAAGGCTCTGAGCATGTGAAAGGCTCATTATGTGCAGATATAATGAAATCCTTAGAAATATAAATGGTCACTGCTGCCTTTCATACAAAATTTTATATTAGTTTCTGAATTTTGGGAAATAATATCTTGTGAGTTCTTCTTGCACTTATCTACTGTTTCAAAGTGTTGTCTTATTCCTTCTTCAGCCTTTGGAAAATGTTTTACTGATATGCAATATTCCAAGTCTATCTTAGCCTTCAGTCTTCCAAAATAAGCCCTGAATGACTGTTAAACAACCATTTCTAGTCTTCTCTTGGGTTGCCACTGTAGATAGCCTATATATAGGTTGATGTTCTAGAGTACTAGCCACATTTAATCCATTCTTTTTAGAGTTAATAATTTATCTAGGCACAAGTACGTTTCCAAGTACATTCATTTAAGGATTGGTTTAGCCTGAAGATAGAGAAAAATCAGGAGTGGATATACCTTGTTATATTGTGTCATGTGTAAATTTCAGATCTTATTTATTAAGGAAGTTTGATAAAATATTTAAGAAGAAAAATATCATTCTATTGTAAATCAGTGGGATAGGAATAAGACAGAAAGGTGTTTTGTCTTCTTAAATATTTTGAAATAAGTATAAAATTAAGATTTTCAACAGCAGTGGTGGTTTTGGGTGTCCTATTTGCACTGTTTTGAAAGAGTCTGATTTCCAGGGTACATGCTGATTCTGTAAAATAATATTTTAAAAAATTGCTTAAAATCAAATACCTAAAGGAAATAAGTTTTGAAAAGGAAATCCAGACCAAATTATTTGGCCTTTTGATGTGTTTACTTTTTTCATCTAAAAATTATGAGAAAAAAAGTTATTTCTTTTACTCATCTCACTCAGATAATGTGTTTGAATGAAAAATGCTGTTGCATTTTTGCACAGGATGTTTCCTGTGAAGAAAGATTGTAGGAAGTTTCTACTGTCAGTGCTCTGAGCATTCCTTAACATAGCTCAATATGCCTCTCTCTTGGTTTTGTTCTAGATTTGGAGGCTATTTGATTATTTTCATTAAAAGGGTCTATCTTGTAGAAAAAAAATATTTTCTATGGGTCTGCTCATTCTATAGAGATACTGATTCTATGGATGTTACATTTTTGGAACTTTATTTTTTCCCAAATCACTAGTACTTTATTTACTGTGCAATATGACTTTTGAGTACTGTCAAAATCTTAGAGATTTGGCAACAATCCCAGAACTCCTAGAATCCTTTCTGAACCCAAGTTAACATGAAATAAAACCAATTATCTGATTTTCTATTTTTTTAAAATTGTTTTTAAGTTGCAACAATGGAGGAATAGCAATAACCAGAAGAACAAAGAGCCATGATGTGATAAACCTGGCAATGAGCCTGGGGGGCTCTACACTACAGAGGAAATATTAACTTCCCTGAGCATGGGGCCATGCTGCCAATATCCACACCAATTTAAGTCCTGCTCAGACAGGACTGGCAGCACTAATTAGGAATGGATTTTCCTGGAGATGTCAGTCAGCTCAGAGGAAGAACAGGACTTCCACTCTTCATGTGAATGATGGGCAGTTTGGAGGACAGAGACAGGTTTCATGGAGACATCATAGCAATTTTCCAGTATCTGAAGGCAGCCTGCAGGGGAGCCAGAGAAGGATTCTTCACCAGGAACTGCAGGGATGGGACCAAGAGTAAGGCATACAAATTGAAAGAGAGGAGATTTTGATTAGCCATATAGAAGAAATTTCTGTTTGGGAGGTGAGATACTGGAACAGGTTCCCCCAGGAGGCTGTAGATACACAAAACCTATTATTTCCAAAGCTGTTTTTCAGGGATACAATTCTTCTTCACAAACAAAAATTTTCATTGTGAATGTAAATCTGAACTGAGCTAATACTGAGTGATTTTATTGAGATAATAAAGGTTTGTGTTTAGAAAAATGCATTTATCAAAAGAGATGTAGGGTTTTTAATGTATTTTAAGTGTGACTGTTTTTTTCTCCACTATTGTGCTGCAGTGTGTCTGTTTTGTATTGTTTGTTCATTAAGGTTCTACACAATGGATTTAAGTCTGTTTGTTCTCCCCACTCATCTGTAAATAACAATAAACAGAATAGAAACTTTCTTCTAACTCAAAAAAATATTCCTTGTAGATGTTTTGCTACTCTGGAGGATACACGCCTCCAAGAAGATTTTTCATGTCCTACTGTTTATGGCCTGCAGCCACAGCCCCTTGAACTGTGATCTTATCACACTTCCCAAATAAAGCAGTATGCAGGAAGATAATCTCCAGTACCCTATCAGGGCTCCCAGACCTTTGTGCTGATTACTCACTATATGTTTTGAGGTTTGTCTCCCTATCAACCTATGAAGCAAAGTATCACTGTGGGACCAAGAAGTGGATCTTTCAATACTGAGAGACTAGAGCTTGGCCAGCCAAAGGAATTTTAATCCTACAGCTTTATGGAAAAGGTGTGCAAGTTAATGTGACAGCTCAGTTTCCCAGGAGAAGGTTGGAAAACATTCCAGAAGAGTTAGCTGTCAACTTTGTATGATCAAATTCATGTGAAAACATTGCATTTGAAAAGAAGACATGAAGATGCATGCCACTTTGGCTCATAATGATTTTTTGGTTAGCAGCAGCCTGGGCTGCTTTGCTTTTTGATAATTTGTATCTACAGAAGCAGTTTGGTTTTATTTATAAGAAACTGAAACTGGATGCAGGAGATTTGGGTTCAAATTCCACTTGTGACCTTGGACATACTTCTTCCCCATTAAAGTTCGTTTTCTTCCATGAAAAGTAAGGATATTGTTATTTCTTTCATTTGTTCTATTCTACCTGACCGTGAGCTCTAGATTTTAGAGTGAGTCAGTACTACACCTCGCTCTGTGGGGCCATCTTCACAGCTGGCTACTGTACTCCTATAACCCCTGGAACAATAATAGCTCTCATTAGGAACTCCTCTTAAAAATGTGCTTTATCGTGGCTAGAGAAATCCTCTTTCAGATTATTTATTAAAATGAAATCCAATTCCTTTCAACTATGGGCCATGACATTTGCAGTGGAAACGTTAAGGGCAGAGAAATTTAAGCGAGCTATCTTGAAAGTTTTTTGTTTGAAGGCTGAAGATGCATTTGCCCTCTCCTCTCCCCTCCCTGTATGCACTGTTTCAGATCCATTGCTTATTGACTGATAGACTTATTGGTGAATTCTACAGCAGTGATCCAGCCCAGGGAGGTCAGCAGGGTGCAATTACCAGCAGAACAGGCTTGGGTGTGCTTCTGAACTACTCCTCCCTGCACAGCTTTCAGTATGCATATCACATCTCCCTGCTTGTAGCAGGCTGATGAGTGTGTGCAGTTAGTGCAGGCACACACATACTTCTGCGCTTTCCCTGGAAGTGGAGCATTAGCAACTGCAGTCAGAACGCACCGTTGCTTCTTCAGCTCTGATCTGAGCAGCAACTGTCGAATTCTGTCTGGAGGAGATAGGAGACAGCACTGGAGGCAAGTTTAAAAAGGACCTAGTGACACCCTGCTGTCACATCTGGTTTCATGAACCTACTTATTAATAGTCCATTTAAAATCACTTTCCTAGTCCCATCTGTAGTGCACGTTCTTGAGAAGTGGCTGGCTGGCAAGGAAGGAGCACACTGCTGAAGGTAGGTTGCAATCCTCTTTACCTTACATCATGTGCTGAATGTTTCTGTCTGTGCATCTCACTTGCAGACATTCCTGGTATATGCAATTTTGCACTGAGAGCTGATGGAGAAGGGTTTTAACAAATCATAGTATTAGGAATAAACAGACAGGTAATCTGTTTTTTTTCCCCTTCAATTAGCCGTAGTGATTGTTTGTTAAGGGATAAATGTAAATGTCTGGAATAAACTTTCTGAAAAGATGACAACTCTGACAGCATGCAGCATCACAAGCAAATAGACTGCTGCTTTTTCTATCAGGGGAGAATGTCCATTCATTGGTTGTTTAACTGTGGACATGGAACATTACTTTCAAAAGGATGTGTTTATTAAATATGGGCTGTGTATGCACTGCCAGCTGAAATTTGCATACATGTTTTGAGATTGAAAAAAATACTCTAACTTTCAGAATGCTCTGGACTGCAGCACACTTCTTTAGAAAACAGGAGTGAGCCAGGCTTTTCACTTAACTTAAATTCTTTTACTGGCATATATTCATCTGGTAAAAAGTCTTTGCCAAATAGAAGTTTGCTGTTATTGCATTTCCATAAATGTAACAGCTGTGAAGAGCATGAATATTCATAGTGTTTAGATTTTTGTTCCAAAGATTTTTATGATAATTCTGACTTTTCAAAGGGGGTGGGATTTTGGATCAAAGAATTATACAGGCTGAGATGTTGTGATAAGCCATATATAAGTGTTTCCTCAAAAAAAAAAACCCATTATAGATAAGCATATACTGCAGTACATAGCTTATTGTAGCTGTTATTTACTCACAGCCAACTTGATCTGTTGCTTTTACTTGTGGATTCTTTTGCTAACAGATCATCAGTAGTCAAAATGAAGTACAGTTCAGATGCTGGTCTCTAATGGGATGGTATTTCCCTAATGCTATACAGCTTTAAAACATATCCAAGACACTGTTAATATTATGATGCTCAAGTTTTAACTTGGTGTATCCTCTATTTTCATTTGCTGAAAACTTATTTTGGGATGTTTCTAAGGTCAGAGAAGCCCACTATTATCTCAGTGTATTTTAAGGATGTAAAGTGATTTGAGTAATCTTTTCTTATGAAAATTCTCCTCTCAGTACTTTATCAAAATTTTATGAGCAGCAGAGATGGTCCTCCTTTGCAGGTGGAAGTAGAATGCTTTTGAAACTACATAGGCAGCATATGTTCGTGTATGTCTAGAGATAATTCATCTAAAAAAGTTAAATAATCCTAGCTGCCTCTACATATCAGTGATTTCTCTATTACTAAAAATATTCTATTAATGGGTCAAACTGCAGATTTCTGTAGCATCACAGTGAAGTAAACAACAAGACAGGAATTGTGTTATATAAAACCATCTCAGAAACCCTCTTAAGGCATCTTGTAATTTTTTTTTTTTTAAATCCTCCCAGTACTTGGGAAGTGCCCAGAGCTGTGGGGTACCTGCCTCTCAAAAGCATGACAAGTGGAGCTATCCATGCGTGCTCAAAGTGAATTTAACATCCCTAATGTCCAGAGGCACCTCTTTGGCAGACTGTCCTCACTCAGCCAGGCTGGACTGGCAGTCTGGACTGTGCTGCTCACCACTGGCAAGGTCAGCCTGGCTGGAGAGCTGAGCCCCCCAGCTGCTCCAGACCTCAGCCCAGGCTGGGCTGTCACTTAGTGTCTCCTCCTCAGGGGATGGGGAAAGCTCTTTGTCCCTTTCATCTGTCATTTTTAATGACAGCTGAATCAGTCTGGGGCTTAGGTGGAAAGTTTGTGCTCATCCCCTCCTATCCACCCACCTCCACACAGCAGATATGCAGGGACTGCAGACACGAAATACATCTAAATACATATGAGAGAAAGAACAATTTAACGGGTCCAAACCTGTTTCCAGGGAGAGAAAATCAGACTACTCTCCTGAAATCAGTAGGAAATTGTTTACATGAACAGAAGTTGTTTACAGAGGTGAAAACTGGTGCAAAATCTCACTTTCCCTTGGTGCTGTTTGAATTTCTGTGACCTGAGGACCTGGCTCTGTTCATTTAAAGTTTGGCTTTATTCCAGGAAAAGTAACCAAAATGGGGAATTTGTATTTTCACTCACTAGGAAAAAAACCTGTCTATATATGATGACAACAACAGATATCTGAGAAAAAAAACACCTTTTTCCTTTCCTCTCACCAAAGCCTAGGAGAAAAAAAAAAAAAAAAAAATCCATTGAAAAACATCCTCCCAAACATCTCTGTTTAATTCCCTTGAAGACATATAAGGTCTCCTCTTCTGCTTTAATGTGCATCAGGCTCCTCCCTGACCTCCACCGCTGCGTTGGAGGATGCGAGAGTTAATTCACTTTGACCCCTTGGCTGCCTCAGCCGCGCTCTTCTTCAAAGCAGATTTGTTGATCAGATCAAATGCAGCCGCTGATGCGTTTCTCTTCTGCCTTGCGAGTCAGAGGCGGCACCCGGAGCCTCGGATGCGTTTGGTTAAGTTTCAGTCTCTCAGCCCCAGCACTGCGATTCCCAAACCCACCAGCCCCCTAGTGTTTTGAGGTATTTGATGCAAAGAGGTCTCTGCAGCTGTTGATTGCCTTAAGCAGATTTAAAGAGGGGGATTTGAAACAGCTCACAAAAGCTGAATGGATTTATTGGAATCGAGAGTGATTGGTAAAGCCATACAGCATCCAAATCTTCTGCCTGGAAAAATCAAGAGCTGGGTTTTGTGTACTTTTAGAGTGCCAAAACCTCTATGACTGCTGCTGCTGCATGGCTGTGAGTCTATCAGAGGCTGCTGACACACAAACTGCTGCAGAGTTGTTATAAAGACAGTCAGTTGTTTACACACTGTAACTGGGATTTCTGAGAGCATCCTGTATCACACGCATGCTGCAGCGCTGGAGTACTGCACAGCTTCCTCAGCTCTCCCATGGAGGATAACTGAAAATGAAGATGAAGGGGAGGAAATGCCATGGAGCCTCAATATTGTAGCAAACTGGGATCCAGATGGCAAACCTTTTTCCAGCAATATGGTGGATTAACTTTAAAAACTCCCATGGCTACTACTCTCCTGCTTAATTTGTCTTTCCTTAATGCCATTTTGGTGTGATGATTTTGCATAATTCCACAAAAGTGCATGGTTTCAGGTGTAGTCTTCTAGCAGCAGAACTTTCTTATTTCTCTATTAACCCCTTCAGAGCTAATTAAATGATTGCATAATCAGTAGCAAAAATTTGAACTACATATGGAAAAAATTCACAGCACAGGGAAAGTATGAAACCAAGGTGATTTGCACATGAAGGAAGAGAAATAACCTTTTGGAGGGAGGAGAGGTTTTAACTCTTCTGGGCTTTATCTCTATTCAGAAATAATTTTTGGGTAGTGCAGCAGCAATAATGACTGAATTTCTTCACAGAGGAGATGTAAACCTCAGGTTGGTGTTGTACACATGCCAACATTTTGAAGCTAGGTGTCAGGTAGTTTTGTTTCTCCCTGTAACTTACAGATCCAGCTTTCTGTCTTCTTGTAAGCTGCTACTGATGTTTGAATATCTTCTTCGTGCAATCACAGCAAGGATCATCACTGCCCATATCTTCTTCAAAAAGCTGGTTTGTGAGACACCCAGTGGTGACAGTGAGCACCCGTGAGCTGGACACTGAGACCTCCTGGGTGCCTTCCTGCAAGTTATCCTTTAGCAGAAATCTTGTCAGAAAATCACCCTCAGACAAGATGATGCTTAAGATTCTTTCCCTTTACTCTCCAATTCTGTCACTAACTGATGCACACTGAATGTAAATTATTAAAAAAAATATTCTTTAAATAAAGTGTCTTCAGAACACCTCTTGATAATTTTGGTCTAGACTATGCCAGTAGGGAAGTGAGTTTATAACTCATTCCCATATGTGCACATATGGGAACGAACAGCAAGTTCTACTTAAATTCTGTATCTCACATGATAGGCATATTCAAAACCTGATTAAATGGGAATTAAAAATCCACATCCATGTCTCACACTGTGACAGAGTTCATCTGCAATCATTGCCATCCCTGCCCCAACTGATGACTAAATTCATTATAAGTCTCCCTATGTAGCCTGAAAATTCCTTTGAGCTACTTTTATGAGAGCACAACTTATAACCAGAAGCCAAAAAAGTATTCAACTCCAGATTAATCCCAGCAATAAATTTCTGTCTAGTAAGTCATATATTTTTGAGGCTCTACAGATGGTATTGACCAGGTTACTGTTAACTAAAATGGGAACTTAGTCTTCTATCACCCGGTAATTTGTCACTGGTTTACTGAGTAATTTTTTCTTGGTCTCCTGTGCTCTGGACTATCAACCCTTGCAAACCAATCATTAACTGTTGTGGATCTTCCTGTGGGTAAGAAAGAACAATTCACTACAATGAAACAGTGGTTTTTTTGCCATAAAGTTACTAAACAGAGCTATGGCAGAATGAATAATGTAGGAGGTGATTTTTTTGTCAGGAAGGTTACTAACAAACATTTCCACTAGCGGGACATTTGGACTTGGCCAGAGAGTGGTGTTTACATTATTTTGGTGATATAGAAAGCAGTTAGAGAAAAAATTATGAGATTCTTTCATATTAAAATACTCTGGAGAAATCCATTATCCAATTAATAAAAATGAATTAAATAAATAATTAGAAAATGTAAAACTAATCCAGTTTCAGATGCATGGGTAAGTTAACACATAAATTTAAAAGACCTACTATAAAAAGTTGGTAAGTTTTATTTTTGCAAGGGAAATACTGCTGTGGTGTCTGTAAATCCAGGGGATAAAAAATATTTTATAAATGCTTTTGATTAAATATTTTTACTTACTTATAAACTTATTTATAAATAAAACTATAGAGCTTACTAGTTTTCTTTTAAATAAAGCCCAAATTCTGATATCTCTAAAAGGTGATGGAAGATGTAGCTGGGCTTATTAAAGATGAATAAAGCCCTATAATGTTTTTTTCCCATTGCAC